GCCACAATGCGCTTGTTCCAATGGTCTCGGAATGAAGCGGGAGCCGCAATTTATTCTTCCAAGGATGAAGCTCCGGCTCACAGCTTCCAAATTCTGTGCCTCGAGTCCCAGTAAAACTATTTGTACTACTCAAGACAAGAAGTCGCTCTTCGGGAGCATAATGTCGACTCGGGAGGCTTCTGGATGAAATCGCGGACTCGGTCGCTGAGCGGGAGGAAATGAGTATCGTGACTTGTGACAGATAGATACCGATGACGGGAACTCGGACGGTCCAGCGTTAATCAGCGAAAGGGTCTGAACCATAATAAATGACCTAGTTCAAAGGAGCAGAAGAAATGCTAGATGAGAAGGTGGCCGACAGCGATTCGTAGCATGGAAATGGTCAATGACCGCTGCCCGAGGACGCTGGCACGCTTGAGAAAACCTGGAGTAAACTAACGCTTTGGAGATGTAGATATCACAAGTGATCCGGGTTGCTAAGCCCTTCTGAGAACTCCCGAGAAGAATCTGGGGAATTAATGGAATAGGAGGATGGTATTCGGATAGGAGGAATGTTTCAGGATACCACAAACGCATGGACCGATAGATGATGTCACAGTCGAATCAAATCTCGGGAGCAGTGATATCCGAAATTTTTGAGATCTTGAGAGGGCGCAGGACCATTGAACATACATATGTATTGGAAATTGAAAATCAGTCAATCGACAATATCGCTCTGCAGGAAAGGGAGTCAATTCGACAAACTTGATTCGGACCAACGTTCCGTGTCAAAGCGGAGATCGAGTGATGACAGAAAGGCATTCCGCGAGGCGCCTGTCGATGAGGGGGAACGCATTATCTTCGATGCCTCTCTTTTATTGTGGGAAATTCATCAGCGATTCCCTGCCTGTAGTCATTCTCACCGAATTACTTGCGGATATGCAGCCAACGCAAGTTCCTCCCGAGACGGTCGTGGATCTGGGGCCCATAGAGATTGGAGTTCCATGATTGGTCATCTTTGGCATCGAACCTCACCGACAAATTACAAGGGATAGGCCGCTCGAGCGGAACCGCACTTTCCGAACCGTCCACCTGGAGTGTGTATGTATCCTGCAGTATTCGAGTATTAGCAACGGTGACTGCTCGTCGAGGATGTAGCTTTTCATGCTGAGAACAGCACCGTGAGTCAGTACTCAAGCAGGTTAGACTGCGATCAGATCCGTATATGCACTCTGCTTCACCCATGGTCCATTTTGGCTGCCGTGCTTTCTTTCGCAGAACAAGATCATTTCCCATCGTGTCTCATCAGTATCAGTCATCAGATCTTAGGCCATGCTTTTTCAAAACGAAAAAACAAGGCTCCGTTGCTTGACCTTGAAGTGACGAGCACCCTCCCCGGCCTATGCTTGTAGAACGCCGTTCAGGGTGTCCGTGATTGTGCGCTCTCGATTGCTTCCCAAATTACGCGCAACGGATGTGCGACTGAGCGTTCTGGCTTTCTCAGTGTCGGCTCCGAAGGGCTAGCATGTGGCACTTTTCCGTCCCGATACATATGGAAACGTGGAGGTGAGGTCGGCGACATCGGGCGGCTTCAGAGCTGCCTTGACTTTCCTCGCTGGAGGATGGATCAAGAAAAGGAAGTGGCACGAGAATGAAGACGGAGCCATTTATAATTATTATCACTATGGAGACTGTAGAATGGTCACTTCTATGGAAAGGCTCTTCGTTTTTCATCCATAATTCTTTCCTAAGCGTGGGGATTTGGTCGATGGAAGTCGGCATACCTGCCGAACTTCATCCCCGCTTTACAGAAGCCGCTGCACCGCCGACGTGGAGCATGCCTCCCCTTGGCCCGGATGCTAGTACGTAATCGGCATACAGCGCAGCGGAGAGAGACGAGATACCATTGCATGCAAACGAAGACTTTCCCCAGTCCCGAGGTTTGAGCAATCTCGATATTCTTCCCTCATCAGACCAAGATTCAGAGGAGCCAGTTTCCGGCCGATAGTTATAGTCGCGGCGCTGTCCCTCCGGGAGCGCGGGGCCGAAGGAGGGTCCTTACAGGCATCAGCCAACGCGCGGGCGCCGAGTTACCGGACGACGATCGCAGACACTGACGATTTCACTCCAACGGCGCGCGGCGGTCACTTACCGCGAAGCAGGGAGCGGGCACACTTTCCCCGCAGTATGAATCATCCAACGCTCCTGTCGGCGGCTGATCCCGAGTGACACCCCGGAACGAGCAAGATTTCTGGGCCGGGTCACTGAGGTCAATATTCCGAGGGAGGGGAAAGCTTCGGATCTCGTTTTGATAATTTCCCGCTTCCAAAATTAGGGTGGAAAGCTATTCATCCCGCAGGGGGAAGAATGCCGCATGGAGCACCTGGAAAAGACAGCGGACACATATAACGAACGGACCGCAATTAATAGTAGACACGCTAATATCCTCCAGTTTCTCAACTGGAGAAATACTGTTCCGGGAGAACTATCTAGTCGGTGGAACATGAGATCATCGGATGAAGGAGCAGACATTCGATAATCTCCTGAGAATGCTGATGACACAGAGCTGGCACAAGGTTCGTTCGTCCCTGCGTTCTCCCAATTGATGGCTACGCTCCTTCTGGGATGGATTGGGAACTTCGTGCTGGAGAGAACAGCGGAAAGAGGACATTTTCAGGGAGTATGAAATTTTCATTCTGCTGCTCTCCGGAGGCTCATGTGGACAGTAAAGCTTTTCCCGGATGATACATGGGTAAGACACCGATCGGTGAGTGGGTTCAAGTTCGGTGATGGCCGACAGTTCTTTCAGGCACAGCGGTCTTCAGAGGCGATCGGAATTTCGAGAGACATGCTACTGGGCTCCATGGCGATTGAGAGAGTCGATTACGAGAGACGCAATCGTTTCAGAGCGAGTTAAGCCTCGAATGAGATATCCAGGTCCTGGTTCTCCCCGCAATTTCAGTGTGGTCTGTCGGAGAGATGCGTCTCGTCCTATGCCTGAACCTGTCGTCCCAGTTGGGTAGGGACTCCCACAGAATTTCACCGGCTCTCACACATCTATACCCCTCACATCTCCGGACGAAAGTCTGGAAGTTCGATATCAATGAGCTTGGTAAAATACCAGCGAGACGACCCACGCCCAACTGAGGCGGTTGAGTCTCTCCCATAGTTGACCGATTGCAGACAAGGCTCCGGGAAGATTTCGGAGCTCCGGTCGACACCGCCTCGTTAGCAGGGCCGCTGAGAATGAGTCGATGATGTAGTCGTCCACAGCCGAGGATCTTCTTTGAGCGAAAACCTGAGGAAATCCACACGAACCAAGGGCGTCCGTCCCGATTAACTGTCCACATCGACGGATTCTACGACTACCGATAATAAGAATCCCGTATTTTTCACCCTTCTGAGCGGCTTCATCGAGGAAAAATGGAATGCGAGAAACCAAGCTTCCCGGACGCTTTATGGTGGGCGAATGACTTAGTTCTTATCGAGTGGATGTATCAGGATCTGCAAAGACACCGGTGCTCGAAGATATTATTCCAGAGCAATTCCTCTGAGACACGCCAAATTCTTCCGAGCGATATTTTGATTGACGTTCGGCGTGAGAATCCAAGCTATGGATGTATGGATGCTCCCCTCTCATGGAAAGGATATCCGGGTAGAGAGAGCGCTATAAAGTCTTCCTCCTCCTCGGGACGATTCGACCCACCATAAACTTCAGATTCAATGCGAGCAGGATACGGGACCCAGTGTAGAATCACAAGACTCCTCTAACCCCGCTGATAGGCTCAAATCTGAGAACTTACTCGAGCTAATCCAGGCGGCAGAGAACAGACACAAGAGCCGGCCTCATTCGTCTAAACGCCACTACTGTTCACCCGAGTGCTGATTCACTCGTTCGTTCTGTACCCGATGTCGTTCAGCCCATTAGTCAATCGGGTTCAATCCAACGAGCCAAGGAAGCCGTTGAACTATTGATGCTGTTGCTGCCGTAGCCGTGACGATCAGTGCGTGTCCCTCTCGAGTTCATGTTGTCCGCGAAATGAACGAATCCCTCTGTTTCGGTGGTGGAACCTCCACTCCGAGACTGAACCATAGTTGAGGGAGAGTGCAGAGAGGAGAATCCTCCCTGGAGCCCCTTCACGATATTTATGCGAACAGTTTTCTTTTGCAGACATTTCCTTGTTTTCACTGAGAAATCAGATCGCGGTGTACATCAGAGCCCATCAGTTTCTCCACCGGTTGTAAGGGTCTACGTATCGGAACTGTGCCGCGCGGAAGTACCAGAATCATCGGGGCAAGTGAGTACGCTTCGATCTGATAAAGGGAGTTCGACGCATGTTTCTCTCGAGGCATGCGATACCAGCGATGCAGCAGAGAGGCACCGAACGGAGTTTCGGAAGCTTGAATGCTGGCATGATGCTGCTTCCTCCGGACCTCTGATGGCTTGTTCATTCATTCGACGACGGACACAGGAAGGTCCCTGTCGGAATTTTTGCCACGAGATCGGAAGGGTGTAATGGCACAATGGTCATATGCCCATCGAATCAAAATAGACCGAGGACGGTAGCCCGTGAAGTCGGGACTACATTTTATCTTCCAAGAAAACTGTAGAGACCAATTTCGCATGCCCTGTTGGTGATGTACTCGTGATGAAAAACTAAGGCACCCCTGCCGGAGCAAGGATTCTCTGAGGATGTCGAGGGAGGGGTGGAATGGAAAATCATTCCGCCTCCGTATCGGGAACTATCAGCTCTGATCTCGCGGGAGTGTCAGGAGCGCCCAAACATTCTTAGCTCATGTCGTTCTTAATATCCCCGCCTGATTATATCCGGGAGCAGGCTCGTATATCTCGAAAATGTGCCGGCTCATGGCCGCCCAATCTCTGGCCGCCTGAGGTCGATGGTTTCTGAAAGCTTTGGGCGCGAGGGAATGACGTGTTCCTCCAGCGAAATTCTCCAGGGGAGTCTGATGTAATGAGAGCATGGGATTTTCGCAGATGGCACGAGGATGCGACTGCTAACATGTCGAGCTCATCAATGATAGCCCACACATGGACTCTCTGCAAAATTCTTCTTGGCGTGAATGTACTCTTAATTATATTCGACGGCTATTTGTTCCTTCGCGTCTCATCTTTAGAGCGCAGATTACTCATCTATGAAGATAGGTATCCCGAGGTGAGATCTCACTGCTCAATCCAGGCACATGATCCGCGACGAGCATTCGTATGAATGTCTCGAGAATTTGAATTACGCCTGTCGATCCACAGGTAGCTCCGACTGCAGCGAAACCAGAATTTTCGGGGAATGCTTTTCCTCGAAGTCGACGTTTCGTCAATGACGAGCAGTGCAAGTGCCCTTCCGGCCCACCTGGTAAAAGAGGGCGGAGAGGTCGGAATGGAGAGCCTGGTCCCGTAGGTCCCGCTGGTCCGCCGGGGAAACCAGGATTCCCTGTAAGTCTGAAATGAGTTCTATGTAGAATCAATCTGCCCATTGAGGGACCTCCCGATGGATTTTCGCTTCGAACCTCCTCGTTTCCAGGGTGCCATAGGTATGGACGGCCCCAAGGGCGAGCCGGGGAGCAAAGGAGACAAAGGAGAGGGCGCTGGATTCAGTTTCACGAGTGGTAACGCAAATAGTGACTCAAATTCGATTCCGCAAGGAGTGCCGTCCATAACACCGCAGGACATCATCATGATCAAGGTATCTTTGAGGCGAGATATTTTCGTCCCCGTGATTCTCCAGGCCTCTTTCCCCTACACCGAGACTTATCCACATCTTTCCCAGGGATCTCAAGGAGAACCAGGCGTTGCGGGTCCTCCTGGGCCTCCAGGTCCTCCAGGTTTGCCAGGTTTCGACGGCGGCACAGGACCTCCAGGCCCAACCGTGAGTAAAGCCTGCGTCACGTTCGAGATACTGATGATCTCAAGTCGCTGATTTTTTCCCGAGCCCTGGGTTTAAATCCTTCCATTGATTTTAGGGACCTCCAGGGGAGCCAGGACCTCCGGGTCCACTGGGGGAGAAGGTAGGCATGGTCTCGTAGTTAGCAGAGTCTATTCCGGTCGATGAAGCGATGCTTGTTTTTCTGTTGGTCGGGGTTCTGCTCATAGTCGCCTGAGGCCCTGGAGAGAAAAGTGAAAGCCGGGGCCGTATCCACGCTCATCTACCGTGCGGAATGCTATACCACATGACAGCTTCCTCGCTCTTATGTCGCAGCGGTGCGCTCCGAGCGTGAATCCTTTATTCGAAAGGAAAAGCCTAACGAGATTTGCTTGACAATCCTTGTATCGTTTTGGACAGGGGCCACTCGGAGATACAGGGCTGCCTGGACCGAAGGTAAGTGCAGCTGAAGTGTTATTGATTATGGTCATCAAGTCACGCTCAAGACGATTCATTCGGGGTTGGAAAGTGTATCATCAACTCGCTATAGGGCGATCGTGGGGACAAGGGTGAACGAGGCCTAACTACAACACTGGACGGCAATACCTTCCCGACTGGTTTCATCGAAGGTCCTTCTGGACCACCGGGGCCGCCAGGTCCGGCCGGTCCGCCTGGCCGAAAGGTAAGATTACGAACCGGAACCGACGACATGAGCCTTCGGGCGCAGTTATTTGGAAAATTCATTCCATTCATCAATCAAATAGGGAGATCAAGGGCTTCACGGCCCTCCTGGAACTGACGGTGCTAAGGGCGATAAAGGAGAACGAGGAATGCGAGGCAAACGAGTGAGTAGGACCTAAGAAGGATTTAGTGACGTCTTTCTGTCCATTGGAGGAATCTCCGTATTATCTAATCATTCTTCTGCTTTTCCTAATTCCAGGGACCTCCGGGGTTGGACGGAATGAAGGTGATTCCTCCCTCTTTTGATGATTCTGATACTCAATCCCAAATAGATCGCACAGATATTCTTGGAAGCCTTCCGTGTCCACCAGCTGCTGAACCCCATTACGATTTCTGATGACGGTCAATACTATCACGTCCGCAGTCCGAAGCTCCTGATTCCCAGGACGAGCTTCAGAGCAGTCTTCGAGAGAGAGCTTCGAGATTTCTGTGCGACAGCGATGGAGTTTCCGGCAGCCATTTTGACCATTTATTGATCTATCGACGGATTAGGGGCTCGACTCCTTGCCGTTTGTGGTCGCTCGTCGGCAGCGCTGCTTGAGGGTGCCTTCGATGGGGGTTGATGATCGAAACAATCCATCCGAGCCGGCGCGACTACCCTGACTGATCCTCGATTGAGCGGGAAATCATTTGGCGGCTTCGGAAGTTTGCTAAGAACCGATACTCCGAAAGAACCCCGCACGAGAAAGCCCCGAATGGGCAACATTAATTTTGCCGAGACACTCGTCTGCTCGACCGAAGAGAGTATCTTTTCTGCCGCAGAAAAACTCACGCATGGGAATCTGGCTATTATGAAATGAGAGGGCGAGGGCGAATGCGCGAGTTCGAGAGCTGCTGAGTTTTAGAGACGACCACATCATATCCAGCAGCGGACACGAGGAATTATGACGTCTCTTCTCCTACTGTCGCCTCTATGCCGGAATGCTGACGTGCTTTTCACTAGGAGGCGGGTCATTGTTATAAGCCTCCTGCCCGCCTCTGCTACCCTTTTCTTTGATTCTGGTTTATCCTGCTTAAGAGACATCACCACTCCCTTCCTCCTCAAAGCATGGCTCATGTTTTGCGTACTCATTTCTCTCGATTCCCTCAGGGTTCACCCGGCGACAAAGGAGAGAACGGATTGACGGTGAGTCTCCGGTAGCTACTTTGCTCGCCCCCCGGTAGACATATGCGCACTGAACATCTCACGGACTGCGACGTCGATAAACAATTTAATGATCTGATGTCAGACGCGGCATAGACATGCCATATATGCAATAATCGACCTGAATTCCAGGGTCCACGAGGTAAACGCGGTAAACGCGGAGAAAAGGGTGATAAGGGAGATCAGGTTAGATTGATGATTCAGTAATTAGAGAATGACTTCAGTCGCGTCCGAAATTCCGATTATTCTCATGGTACTCTATCATGGTGGAGAGCCCACGAGTACGGCACAGGACTTGAGAAACACTTCCTATCTAGTCTGGATGCTCTAATTCTCGGGAGTTCCCATCAGCCGGAACTCTCGACTAGGCGAAGAACGCGAATTCTTACGAGAGCCGTGGCGCTCGACCGCGGTCCTCGGCGCTCCTCCGTAGAGCTCTAGGATCGAGCTGAGATTGCGAATCATAGCGATCCCAGGAACCGCGGTTCTTGACAAAACCTACTTTGGACTGACTCTCCCTATAGTTTAGTGCTGCCTGTGAATGTGGTGAAACGATGAAATTGCCGTGCAAAGAGAGCTCACTCGCTCGAGCGGTCTCGGCACGCACCAAGCGATTGCTCTCCGTTCGCAAATGTTTTCGAGTCGGAACTCTTCGGAAAATCCGAGGCGGAATTTAGTCGAGAGGTTACTTTTCTAGTCTTCACTCATTCCACCGAGTTTGGCGCCTTGTTTTCAATGAAGGTCGTTGCTGCTAATTCCAGGGTGTACCGGGCCTAGATGCTCCGTGCCCACTGGGCCCGGACGGCCTCCCTCTACCAGGATGCGGGTGGAGACAGGCGGGAGCAGGTCCCCATCCAGGCGGCGAAACAAACACGGTGATCAATCTACATTCTGGTCCTGCGCAATGATGTGCTTCATAGAATCTGACAAACGAATGAAATCGATCCGCGGCCCTGTACAATGCTCGGGATGAAGACCGGATTCTGAAGCTCCAAGTCGATTTACAGGAAAGGAAGGAGTCCGCCTGAACAACCCGATCCCGCGTCTGGGTGAAGGAGAGGTCGAGGAAAAATCTAATCATCAAGCCGAGAGCTCAACAGGGATTGCAACGAGCCTCGACGCTCAGGGAGAAGTGCACACCACTGAAGCTTGGGTGAACTTCCATACGAGGGCTCCGCGACCACAACTCACTAGGTAAGCTGCTGGTCCGTTCTGAGAAGTCTGTTTTCGATCTCGTCCGAAGAGCCTCTACAGCTTGAAGATCGTCCTCAGGTATGCTCATGGTGATGATGTCAACTTCCGCCCCACAATTATTCTCGCTTCTTTGGATGATACCGCTCAAAGGAAGGCCCGGATCGAGATCCCAAATCAGAGACTGAGAAACGACCCGGCCTAGCTTTCGAATCGTCATTTCTTTGCTGCTTCGGGAATCCACCCTATTGGCGGTATCTTGAACCTGCGAACCCATACAGCTGCTCGGCGGCATCAGCACTGGCATGATGCCTGCGGCGAATCCAGAGAACCCCTACCCAGATGGGAAGATCTCGCCCTCATCGAGACGCCGTTCCCGCAAGGGGCACTTCCCAGGCAGCATCCCCCTTGAGAGGTTCCGTTATCTGATAGCCAAAGTCGTGGAATATGCGCTACCGATTGCGCCTGCAGATAGATCCTTCCTGCCTTTCCGACTTCAAGAGCAGTCCTCAACGGAACCTCCGCCGGGTGGTTTCGCGTATAAATATGGGAGCATTCCATCCAACCCGATTTTCCGTCATCCGATGTAAGAATGGAAAAAAGGAGAAATGCTCCCTCATAAACTCTATATACTTATCATTCTCTTCCGAAACAGATCACGAGGAAGTCGCGGGTCGCTGTATCCATATGATCCAAGCATTCGTCGGCATGACTCCCCTTTCGCGAAATAAAAACTTGGTTTGTTCTGTATAAGCATCATCATCATTGTTGTCGAGGATTGATTCTAGTGAGCTCGACTTCGGTCTCGGTCTTCTTGTCGAAAGCTCGGCCTCAGTAAAATATCTCCGGGGAGTCCTGAGATGCAACGAAAAAGCAAGGTCACGGACTTCTATGGATGTATTGCCCCAATTTAGAGGAGCCGAGCGAGAAGCCCGAAAAATTCGAAACAAAAACAATCTGAGGAGACGGAGCACTTCGAACACGGAGCCACGATTTGCCAACGTTCCCATCAAATCATGGCTTTTTGGCTGGAATTGATTTCTTATCACAAAGAGGACCGGCCGTGTTTCAATGAACAATCAGGGAAAGCAAAGGGTAGGACTGAAACGTTCACCAAAAAAATCGAAGCGGTTTCGCTCGAGAGGTTGACCGATCTCTTCGAAGAACTACGTCCATTGGATAGAGGAAGGGAACGTAATGTTCCTGAAGTATTGCAGGAGTGATCGTCACTATGCGAGTACTCTAGTGTGTTGGGGCTATATGCCCAAGTTAAAGCCAAAGCAAGAGAGCTCGAGAAGGCAGGCCGTTCAAGTCGACCCACCGCTCAAGTTTACTGTTCGCCTAAACTCACGGCTCGTGCTCGAAGTCACCGAGGTCTCATTATCACTCTGTGCTTGAAATCGCACGTGCTGGAGCCCACGCTGCGCTCCCTATGGAGTCGCCCTGAAAACGCTGCGTCCGGATGGCGTCCGCGCTCAGGCCCATCATGTTTTGCGGAGCTTCTCTTATGGTACCTCAAGAGGACTGCAGAGTCGTTATGCATTCATTTTATTCCTTATGTACATCTACTCAGATATTTACAACGTCTGTCGAGTCAACGAGCTTCCTCAGTCGTATGGCACTCACGGGGAAATCACTAAGGTGTCTAGACACTCGGGGCATCTTCACGGTATTTGCCGAACTTCCATTTCTGCCGATTGTTGTCCTCATCACAACCTCGCACGAGCAGCTCAGTTTTACTAAGCGACATCTCCAGGCACTTCCTGCTGCTCCCGTGCCGGAGCAGTTTCGTCTGGAAATGAAATTAGGTACGAATTTCTCAGTTTAGGAGTTTCCGGAGGGAAAGCGACGGCACAATCTTTGGGTTTGGGGAGTAACTCACTTGCTGGTCATAGATCCAGTATTGATTACCCTTGGAACCGTGGCAAGGATAGAGGATGACATCCGTTCCCGCATAGTCCAAACACGCTTCATCTCGACGGATTTCCCCGTTTTTCGAATACAGCCAATACTGATTACCTCCTTGACCATGACAGGGATATAACCCGACTGCTTTGTGCAGGGAGCTCTTTCCCGCCGGACTGAAAATGGGCATGGGAAAATCGCTGCGTGAGAGATCAGCAACGACTCATCAACGCTCGACCCCCCAGGATACGGCGCATTCGATCATCTCGAACATCCCGCGCTCAACTGTTTCTCAACGTGATGCTCAGCACCATTGTCCGGTTCATAAGTAAATACCTGTCCAAGCACATTCCCCCGCTCCCGAGGTTCCGCATCTCGCCTGATCCGATTGCGTCCCCAGGCACGAACAACTCTGGATATACCTCATCGATGTACCATTTGAATGAATGACACTTGAGCTTGTCACGCAGAGCTATCCGGTCGCTAATGTCCCCGTAATCTCCCTGGAAAGTATCGAGTTCTAGCTACATTCATATCCTGATCGTTTGAGCAGAGTCAGTAAGCCTGCGATCAACCAGCCCTACCAAATCGTTTCCGAGTCTTTCGAAGTAGTAGTTCGCGTATTCGTCCATCCAAACTTTCGCCAAGCGTATGGAGTTCCGTCTCAGAACGTTCACTCCCGACCTCCATTTGTAGGGCGATCGTTTCCGGAAAATGTGACCGACATGGGAGCACGGAATTATTTCCAAGCGACCTCCGCACATCCATGTCTGTAATAAAACACGAAGGATTAGAATCCATTCGGGACGGGCTCAGAATCTCCCTCGATGATAATCATCCAGAGCCGGCTCACAAACTTGTCAGGCTTGCACAAGCTCGGCGGAAGACCACCATTCTGCGTCGGGCAAGAGGCTGCTAGAGTACTCAGTCAGCTCCAAGTTGAGGCTTCGGACCAGAGCTTACCTTGAACGAGAGCTCTAGATTCTCTCCTCCCCAGATGTCGAAGCCCGGATCGTACATTCCTAACCTCTCGAAGAATTTTCGATCTATCGAGAAAAGTCCACCGGCCATCGTGGGTGTCTCGACGGGCTGCCATCGCTTGTAACCGGACTTGAGAATCCTGTCGGATGGTTAGAAAGCCAGGTTTAACACACAGCGTTCTTACGAAGAATATCTGAGTGCTCATCCGGACGCGATCGGAAGGAGAGGCTCGGACCCTTGTTTGAATTACCTTTCAGGTATAGAGTGCCAGGAAAACTGGAGACTCCAATCAAAGCCGCCCACGTTGACATCTGCGCTCTCTTTCGCGTTGTATTCCAAAGTGTCGTCGGCTATGATGTCGATTACCGGAGAAACTACGTTCGTTGAATTCACAGCGATCCTGTCTAAGAGGGGTTCGAGCCATCCTGCGGAATGAGGAAAAAGGCTCATGCTCAGCGATAATTGAAGGAATCAGGCGACTGCTCCGACAGAGCAGAAGAATCATTCACCTTCAAGAATATAATATCATACCATGATGGATAATATGATATATACTCACATATAATATAGAATATATGGAGTATAATATCATACCATGATGACAATAAGGTAAATGATCTGCGCTCAGACTCACCCTGCGTGCATTCCACATGAGAATCTAGGAAAGTGAGGACGGGAGCAGTGGAGTGACTAGCTCCGAGGAGTCGAGCTCTAATGAGCCCCTCGCGTTTTTCAGCTCTCACAATGCGAACCTTTGGAAAAGCTGACAAGTACCTCTCCAAAGGATCCTGAAATTAGTCCATTGCAATTTCCAGAGCGAGTATCGACGCTGGGCAACCTCTCGCTGTATCGGTGGGATGAGCTCCGAACGTAAGGGGACTCACCTTCAGCAGTTGGAGATCCGAAAAATCGTCGACCAGGATGATGTCGTGAATAAGGTGCGCAGGCGAACGATTCAATATCGAGTGGACGGTGCGGATCAGAACGCTCCAGGCTTCGTTGTGGAAGCAAACAATGATACTCGTTGATGGCAACTTCGAGCTATACACTTGATCTCGGCATTCTATGTGCCGCATATCGGGCAGGGAACGATTGACAGATATCAAATCCGATACGTAGGAGTTGAAAGCGTTCTGTTTCCAACCCTCTCTCTCCTGAGGAAGAAAGGGACTAGCTCCTTGACGATGCCCGTGTGTTGAGCTCAGAGGGCAGACCTTCCCTCTTTGCGCGACCTAAGGTATCCCGCCCCTGTACATAGACCATTCACCGTGGAAGCCTTCCAGAGAAGGCTTCCAACTGAGAACGACACGGGAGACGTCCGTCTCCTAGATACGGCAGTCGGAACGCACCTTCTGTTCGACTGTAGAATTGATGTTCTTGATCAACACAGGACGTCCCATTTCCCCGTAAGCAGGCACGGTGGTGGTGTGGTCCTGCATCTTTGAGACATCTGGTCGAACCTCTCCCAATATCGGTGGCACTGCTGTTCGCGTTTTCTCTCGTCCAGGGGGGACATAATTCTGTGGAAAAAGCAGAGGTGGCTCTGTTCATGAGAGAGGTCAACTCCGTTCGCCAGCAATCGACCGCAAGCGATACCGAGTTTTATACGGCTACTGATATCGTTCCCTATTGAGAATAACCGAGTTCTCTCAGTCTCCCCGACGAAAGTGATCGAAGTTTCGCGAACCGGCAGGGATGATCAGGGGCTCCTCTATAGGTGCTCTTCCAAGTCTGGGGCTCTTCATTGAGATCATGATGGTGAATTTTGTCTAGGGTTGAACTTACTTGGGATTTTCTGGCGAAATACTCAAATGAGCGAACGTCCGATAGGACTGCCGTGTTGGGCGACAGCGCCACGAAGCAGAGCGAGCCGAGGACCCAAGACCCGGCGAAGAATGCGAGGCTTTTGAGAAATATGGACCGACGACGAGCAAAGCACATTTCTGCTTATCTGAAAGAATCAGCTGCATCATTCGCGGGAAGTGTTCGACAGACCCATCCCTGATGTTAGATCATGATGTTGAGCCCTCCAAGAGTCTCGGCACCGAACCATCTCTGGACTGTATCTGTTGCTGCTTCCCGCTCGCATCCCTCGTGCTCGGTTTTTACCTCACCGCTTGCGTGGCGAAGTAGTCCCATCGAACTCTTTGTGAAAGTCGTGGAGTGGGATCTCATTCATTCGATTCAGTCTCCCTAAGATTATAGGTATGCGCTGCTTCCTCGTGCTTGCCACATGTATATTTGTCGATTCTACGATTATCAGAGTCATCATACTTATGATCCGCGAGCACTCTCTCACAGCGGAAAGCTACGCTGAAGAATATTCGGACATTGGAGTCAGTGCTCGGGCGAAATCCGGACATCTTCGAGACTCTAGGAGGGTGGCTCGGGGAGAGCATCTAGTATTCGACCGGCATCAGAAGGAGCCTTGGCCGTGACCAACGGAACGACCCGCTCCGTACTCGGGATCAACCTACAATGCCTAGGTGCCAAGCGAGCTCAGGAGAATTTCGCAGGTATAAACCTTCTCGGATCTTTTCTCCTGTTTTTTGAGCTTCCCCAAAAAGCATATATTTTTGATTCTCTGTGTCTGTCTTAGGGATGGCCGAAGCAGGCCTGTGTCACGGTGCTCAGTCGGAGTTATCTTTCAGTCGCACGGCAGAAACAGGTTCTTCGATAGTAGAACAAAAAAGCGGATGATGGAAGAGGCGTGGAGGTGGACCGAGGAGCGGCTGACGAGAGATAATGCCGCTCGATCCGGCGACTAATTCAAGCAGCGGTCTTCGACCAAAGGTTCAGGGCATTTTCTCAATGATGTGGAAGCTCTTCTGAAGGAGTTGCTCGTCGTTATGACGAGTTTCCATCGAGATTGTTGTGAAGCACACAGGATTTCGACCTCAGGGTTTCTCCACACAATTTTCCCCCTCTCTGGAATCCTCTGGAGATCTGTGTAGAGTGTGCTCTGCTCTTCAGGATGCTTCCGAGAGCTAGAAACCTGATGATGATATCTCATCTTGTGGGACTCGAGGGGAACTCAAAGAACCACTCTCCGCGCGGAAGTTCATCAGCTCCGCGACGCCCTCATCGGGATCGAGATCACACCGTATTCAGGAGCAAGACTCAGATCGATTTCTGTTTGCCTAAGGAGTGGTGCGGGGCTTAAGACCCCGGATCGGAGTCGAATCAGGTGACTCCAGTCTGCTCGCGTCGTGGTCAGCGGATGGGGCGCTCGGACGGGACTGTAGAGCTCAATTTTCCGATTTGCGCTCATCTTCGAAGTGTAATCATTTTCTTCGATGATCTCGACAGCGCCAGTCTGAAAGTCATTCAGACGTCTTTCTAGATTATCTAGAAAGAATATCTCAATTCAAATCTGAGTCCTTCACAAGCGGCTGCTGTGTTCTAAAGGAAACCTCGCTGCTAAAGGTCGCTGAATGACTGAATACTACATTTGTCCCAAATTTTATTTCCGATTCAATTCGCTCCGGGAGATGTTTTCAGGATTCCAGCTTCTCGGGTCGGAGGTCTTCAATCTATCTGTCCGGGCCGCTGTATTCGTTTCGAATGCCACTGATCGGTCGACCGTTCGCCGGCTTCAGCAACTCGTGCTACGAGCCGATTGAGTTGAACCTCCCTCCACCTGTGAGCGTGTTAGCTTCAACCGGTGATCCCACCAGGTCCGCTCGGATGATTGAATTTTCATTGAATTATCATAATAATAATTAAGTCGACCACGATTGAGAGAAATACACTTGCTACAACGAGCCCGACTGTACCGGAAAGAGTTGTTCGTTGCAACGGGATCGCCGTAGAGGATGTGTGTCAACATTATCCCAGTGGCGGGCACGCCTGCAGATGAGGACACAATCTCCGCTGTTCTTGGATCCCGTTCACTGAGGAACCTTTGATGGAGGTTCTTTGTGAACTGAGTACGTTTCTTCAGCTCGGCGGAGGTAGCGGATTTTCTGTCCGAGTGGACGTCAACAGACCACAAGATCTGATTCTTAGCCGGTCTGAGGCGAACAGACGTCCCTGCCACCCGACAAAGCGTGACACCCAGAAATTTTCCGTGGTCTGAACCCTCGACGGCATTGCATGCCAACATTCTCGAAGTTCATGTGATGTTCTGTCCTCTCCATCTAGAACGGTGTCGCGGAGGAGAATCGATGAACGGATTTCGAACGCCCTCACACTATTTCGCTCTGGACGGTATTCCAGATAATATACGCGGAGCTCCTTGGACAGCGTGAATTCGGGTCGCGCACTAACCTGAGCCAAAAGTTGAATTGCTTAGAACTTCACCGGGTCCTTAGGCCACTCTGTGAGCGAGAGCTGGACGGATATTAGGCGGAGAGACTGCCGAAGGCCGGCCAATCCGTGTAGCCAGCACGCCTATATCAAGACATCGTATCGAGCGAGAGAATTTTTGCTGGCACTTGTTCGGCATTCACTTCAGCTGCGCTATTGAGTTGCCGTCCGTCGCCGCACGAAATTCTGACACAAGCGAAGTCGACGAGCGCCGTCTGGTAACGAAAGGAAGAAACGTTTTCCTCGGAAGTAAATACGGTGAAGAGGCAAATGACCTTTCATCGGCCATGTTCTGGAGGGCTGGACCGGCGAGAACTGGTTGAAGATTGGTAAAAGGAAACGTGGATGTGGCATTCCGCATGCGGATGGTAGTGCAGTCCATCCATAACATGAGCGTATTTCCTCGTGTCCATTTCCCCTTCGACACCAAGGAAGGTTATCACTCCATTCGCCGTTCGGCAGTGCCTCTCAAAGTACATGAGGTCCAGGATCGATGGATCCGCTGTCCTACATTGTACCTGGTCATCAGACCGATCCCCGCGGGTTTCCCAGTTTTAATCCGCGATTTCAGCCTATATTGATTGATTGGGCAGAAATGCAAAGAGACACACATCTAGACTATCACACGCCTTCTCCTACTGAAGAAGTATCGGTAAAATCGGACTTTTGTGGCTCATTACATCTGCCAGGTTGCATGCAAGCCTCCGGGCTGATTTATCTACTGAAATATCACTCGAGGCATAAACTCAATGAGGGGACAGGATCGTGGGCTGTAGTCCCTATCAAAATAAGAGCTTCATTATTGTCAAGCATGGGGGAGAGCCGCCATTCGGTACCTTAGCCCTATCCAAGAAGCACTCGAGCTCCCCTTCGTTCCCCCTATCCTTCCCAGAGGAAGAATCCTCCGTGCATGCCTGTCTCGAGAGCATGATTCTGAAGATCTGATATTGCAGAAAAATCATGCAGTACTTGCCGCAGGGCGAACGCGAGTTCCTTGAAAATGCGCATCACATTCCATCGGGGAATGTGGGGGCGAGCTGCGGCTGTCTTCGGGTGGACTTGAGTACTGACTCCACCAAACGGATTATACTGAAATTTTGACGCCCTCCTCGTAGTCGGCCTTCTCAGTCCATGGTCCGGAACTCCCGAGGGTAATCGCGTATGAGGGCGCCTCCGCGCGCTATCGACCATCCGGTCTTCGTAGTCTGAAAGACACCATCGCTACCCGAATAAGAGACTATGTACATACATTTTTCTATGTGCCTTCCCATTATGGAATAATTCAGCCGTTTCATAATGTGTCTCTAACTAGCCGAGGAGAACTTCATCTTGTGCTCGACGATACCACTTTATTTAATCGAGAGTCCTCTCTACATCAAGCTTTACAATTCTGGATGTAAATATCCACGACAAGACTTGGCTGCTATCGAAATCAAAATCAGGACGTGCCCACAAAAGTACAAAGACGAATATATTTGCCAGGTTTTCGATGTATCTAAAATCAGGTAGGGTAGATGCCAGTATCCGAATGCTATGTTGTGTATGAGCAGCTTGATCAAGTACGGAACCGATTTCGTACTCCCGGTGAAGCCCGCTTCTCCGACCAAAATGTATATAGCCACCTGCACGAAGAAAAGCCAGTGGCCGATGCCGTTTCCGTGCCAGAAACCGCTCAGAAGGAAAACATACAGTAGACGGACCGTTCTCGGTCCCGAGAATTGCTTGTAGAAGCAGCGTACCAGCCAGCACTGAACGGTACGGTTCCATTTGATGACGAAATCGCGAAGGGTCACCTCTAGTTCAACCGATGGCCTAACACCGAAAACGGTTGCGGTATTCACATCGGAGGGAAAATTCTGTCCTACTCTGTACGGCCCGGATTCGGGCGCGCAATCCATGTTCCCCGGGTATACTCCCAGACCAAGGGCGATTGCGGATGCCTCGCCCAGCATAATGCCGACCTGAAGCCGACATCGGAAACTGAAACTCATGGCGGCGATGTAGAGGAGCTTGAACCAAAAACTTTGAGCCAAGAAATCGGAGGATTGCGAATAGTTCGCGGGCACCAGGAAGTACGTCATCAAGGCGATCGGTACCACGGCTGCGACTATTTCAATCAGTTCCAGGAACAACTCTTTCCGTCTTTTATGTGGGGCTTCGAATCGACCCTCAATGAAGTGCTCGTACGTGTTGAACCGAATGGCCGGAGTCAGTAACAAACCCACGTAGCACCAAAGATATCCGAGAGCTTTCAGTGTGGGCGATCTGGCCAGGGAACAATGTACGCAGCTATCTCCGTTGATCTTAGCTTGAGAACCGCAAGCTCTGTTCTGGAGATCCACCGTCAATGAGATCACTCTCAGGGCCATTTGCATCAAGATTCCATGAGTTTGCGCGCAGTCGTGCCATATCCGAAAACATATCAGGTATCCAAACACTAATGGGAAAATCGCCTTGTTCCATCCTGGTAGCATCTGGAAGAGGTTGATTGTCATCGAGGACAAGACAGAAAAGATGATCAGATGAATGCTCGATGATCCTGGAAAAATTTAGAAGAATGGATCTCGATGAGGCCGTGACCAAAAGGTGGCGCCGGAATTTTCGCGCGCGGCAGCGCTGTCCGACGCCGTCCTCCATGATAGTCCTTCGATAAGGTGACCCAGAGGATGAGACGGGGCAATGAAAACGCTACGTACCGCATAACAACACGGCGCTGAGCAAGCCTACAAGGCTCAAAACGAAGCGTCGGCGGATTCCAGGAGGAGTGTCTGCTACTATAAAACCGAGGAAGCCATGACAGAGTACAGTAGTCAAACAGAAAATCCCTTCAGCGAAAGTAAAACGAAAGTTCGCCATCTTCGAGGCTGTTCTGCTCGTTCTTCGAATTGAATTCTCTCCCGGGAGGACTCATGATCCACTTTCACACGCCTTTTCTCTCCAGAGCGACAGAAAGCGACATTCCGTGACTATCGACAGTCGGAAATGAGTTCATCTGAGCACGGTAGGTTCGCGGAGGAGGACTAGCTCGCGAGCCTGCTTGACTTTGGCACGGATATCGAATAGGAGTTCATCTCGTAATGGGAAACTATCTTCTCGGATACTTCCGGCTCAAGCTACAACAGAAATCGTCTTCGAGTATTGATTAGATGCCCTACCTTCTCCGGAACGCTGTCCAATCTTCTCACAGCGGAATTCGACGAACCCATCTCAAGCCTCGTTCGAGACTGACTTCCGCGGAACGCTACGCGAGTCACTCCCGTCCTGAGGCGAGGAATGTCACTTACAGTCGAGAGCTCTCTACTTCGAATTCTCGGGTGGGGAGGGGGGCAAGAGTTCTAAGTCATCCTAAATCTACATCACCAAATATTCATCACTCATCGGGTTTTATCCTTGAATTTCAGTGAGGGAATTCCATTTTATCGGTGAATCGGGCGACATCATTCCAACTCAACGAAACATCCAGCTCAGAGGCGACCCGATTCAGGGACACCCGAATGTATCCCCCTTGACTACCCTCCTGCTGGAGTCTCATCCCTGCCAAATGGCATCCGCTTTGATAAAAAAACATCGGAGACTTACCTTCCAACCCACTCAAAGAAGTCATCTCGACTTCAGGGGTTTGAATGTCTCGGGCGATGACTGTCCGAAACTCGGTGGCGGAATGAGAATTCTCTGATTTTTGTCGGCCGCTCGATCCAATCAAACGCCGCGTGTCATTGATCATTAGAGTTCCTAAATTTCGGACATTTCCGTTTCGCTCTCGTTGTCCGTTTTTTCGGAAAAATGTCCGAAAATTCGGACAGATGTCCGGTTTTCCGGAAGAATACTCGGAAATCCGGACAAATGTCCGGTTTTCCAGAAATGTGCTCAGCATCCGCCGAATCCATTTTCTCTGGGGGAATAGACCTCAGATCTTCTCAGATTCGCTCCCGATGGCAACTTGGGCGCCGAGATTCTTCGCTGCTTCATTCTGCTCCTCAGTTTGAAGCATAATCTCTGGTCGGAAATCGGAGGAGCCTTCACGATTGGCAGCGAAGCGCTGAAATGACAGCATTGCAAGATAACATGACACTGTCAAGTGTGGAATGACGATATCGAACCTCCATCACCTGATGTGCACATCTGTGAGGACCGAGCTGATCTCGCGGTTTCCAAGCCGCGAGTTGTCCGGACTCTCCGCATCGCGCTCAGAGAGACCACGAGAAGAAGTGAAGCTCGAAGTAACCAGCCAATCGTTCCCCGAACGGAGCCTCTTGCGCTCGTACCGACCCGGAAACTGGACGTGAATCTAGAAACGTTGGTTCGAAAATGGCTCGCGAAAGCTGAAAATCAGTGCTTCCGTCGCCTTAACGGAGACGTGGTGTGCGAGATTTGCTCTGCGACGGTGACCATCAAAGACCGCAGGGGAAGTGCGAGACTCTCCGAGCATCTGAGGACAGCCAGGCACCTGCGCGCAGAAGAGATTTCGGGCAGTCAAAACGGGATCGTGAACGCTCTGAACGCGAGTGAGACAGAAAATGTGAATCCGTTCAATTACGAACTTTTCCTGCTTTTCGTATCTTCAAATATCCCGCTTCATAATTTGTCATCACCACGTTTCAAGAGCTTCTTTCAAAGGTACGCCGGTCGGCCGGTGGAGTATGCGAAAAATCCGGAGAAGTACATTGCCTTCGGCTATCAAAGAATCACGGAAGAAATAAAACGCCGGCTCGAATCAGTTCCATACGCCATATACATCGATGAGACTCAGGATGTCCGAAAGCGAAAAGTGGTGAACACGATTGTGATCCCCCTCACGGGGATGCCCGAGCAACCCCTCCTTTTCGATACAGACTTCGTGGATTCCGCAAACACCTTGACCCTGGCTGGCATCGTTAACCGAACAGCGATGACAATCTCGAAAGATCCGAACTTGTTCAGATTGTTTGTGACCGACCAATGCCGTACAATGATAGCTGCTGGCCGCGAATTGAAGATTTTCTACAAGAATTTCGTACACATCACTTGTTTCGCTCATGGCTTACATTTGCTCTGTGAATTCATCCGAGAGAAGTTCCCAAAAGTGAATTCTCTCGTCTCGAGCATGAAGAGTGTTCTGAACTACTCGAAGGCAAGGACAGATCTCTACCAGGAAATACTCGAGGATGAACCGCTACCTCCCAAGCCAGTTATAACGAGATGGGGCACTTTCCTCAACACTGCGTTCCACCATCAGCGGAATTTCGACAGAGTGAAGCTATTTGTGTCAAAGATTGAAGCGAGAGCCGCGGACAGCATGGCTCTGAAATCCCTTGTCGACGACCCTGATTTGGAGACTCAGTTGGATGCGATTTCTCGTTTCTCGGAAATACCTCGAGCGATCGAGCTTCTGGAATCTCACTCGATCACGATGGAAACGCAGCTTAATATAATATTTTCCATCCAGAGGAGTCTCGAGGAACCTTTTGCCTCTCGGCTGAGAGCCATTTTCGGAAAGAATCCCGATTTCAACCACCTCGAGAGGATTCGGGAACTGGAAGCCGAGTTGTTCAAGTATGCAATTTTGTCCAATGCCGAGGTTGAACGATCCTTCTCGTTATACAAAAATGTTCTGAGCGACAGGCGTCATCGACTGTCTCTGATAAATCTCAAGAGATATCTTTCAATCCAATTCAACTCGGACATACTCTTTGACGAATAAACTCTTTTTTCTCTGCGGATGACACTCAGGGTCTTGTCAACTATGATGGGGCAAGCCGAACTCGAATATTCGATCCATGTCCGGTTTTGTCCGATTAATGTCCGATTTTGTCCGATTCGTGTCCGATTCATGTCCGGAATTTCCGTCCGATTTTGTCCGATTGTCCGAAATCGAAATGTCCGGAATTTAGGAACTCTATTGATCATGTAATCCAGTCGCGGGCCTTTATGATTTCCGCGTCGGAAATCCAATCCCAATTATCCGAGAGTTGATTGAGGCTCCACGGGCCGTTGTTTCGCCGGGGACTCAATCAATATCAATCATGATCTCGAAAAACTGGCACTGTTTGTGAGTATGATATTTCATGAATCATGACGGAGATCACTACAAATGTGCGAACCCTGCTCGCGCTATCAATGCTTCAGGGGAATCGGAGTGGTCCCTCGCTTAATGGGAGTTGTTGGCGCGTCTATTCGAGCTTCTCCTCTCATAATATTAGTCAAGTTGAGACCGGCGCTGGTCCCCGCGGAGACGTCTATCGAGAAATGCTTGAATTCACGAGAGTCCCTGTTCTCCCCCTAAGCCTCGAAGCTTCCCAAGAGTAGATCACCGATGGCGGTGAAAGGAAGTGACCGTCGAGATCCCCCACCACTGAAGACGAAACGATTCTTGCAGCCTGATTCGGTATATTCTAGATTCTCCAAATCCTGCAAACTCCGACAGTGCCTACCTTCAGAGGTCTCTGATATGGACTGCCAAAGCAGCGGCTCGATATTCGGGGGAGCCAAATCGAGGGCAAGGGATAGAGCCCGCTTGGCAAACTCAGTGAACCAATTCGATCTTTTGACGTGAAACGTCTTTAAAAAGGTTGGCCTAGTATTTCACCAAAAGTGTGACGAAACTTGTCCATTTTCTACGCCCTGCAGCTCCGTGCCTTCTACACCGACCGACACCCGGTTGGTGTCTTTAGATAGCAAATTTACGGGATATCAATTTCATACACTTCCTACGGAATTCCCATTACGCACAGATCAACTCCTGAAGGCAAGAATGATACCCTATGCGCCCTATTCGCCCGTGATCATGGCTGCTCCTGGGAGAGGGCGATTTCAAACTTCAAGAGCGCGCGTAAGGGCCCAATGGCTAGCAACGCAATTCCGCATCCACCTCTTTCAAAACACAGAAGAAGATATTTTCCACTCAGAAGAAGATATTCTCCACTCAGAAGAAGATATTTTCCTCTCAGAAGAATATATTTTCCACTCAGAAGAAGATATTTTCCACTCAGAAAAAGATATTTTTCACTCAGAAGAAGATATTTTCCACTCAGAAGAAGATATTTTCCCAACTTCGGTGAAGAGTTCGACTTCACCGGTGATAATGTGACCTAAAAGAACGATCTGAGTTTAAAGAGATAATGACGATGCTCGAGTCTTACGAATGGCCATTCCGAAGACGTTTCACGTCCTCTACTCGGTAGTGGCTCTGCTGCTACCTCTGAATTTTTAGCCTTCGATTTGACACCACTGCGATAAACGGAAGACCTGAACGCCGACCTCGAGGAACATCAATGTTTCGAGGTTCAGCCTAGCTGCATTGAGGGGAAATCCAGAACTCAGTTCACCAACGACGGATTCCGGCATCGCAACAGCAATTTTGAGATGGCTCAGGTATCGTCTATGCAGATACTCGTCATTGAGGAAAGTCAGGCTTCAAGCAATGTCAGCTGGATCGGCTGATTGGTTTTTATTCCCCTCCCGTTTGGGACTCAAGCACAAATCAATAATGCCGATGGTATTCTCTCTTGAGAAGAGTTGGTGGGGCAGAGAGCGACGCCGTCGCATCCGGAGCTTGTCTTGTGTCGCTGTCGACCCGGATCCCGAGCTACAGAACTCTTCTAAGCTTGCCTTGAAGAGAGAGAATTTCATCTTCATTCGTCGTCCCTTGCCGATGCGGCTCCACATTTTGTAATTCCATTTTTATCGATCCATACCTGCACGGGGGAAGCTTCTCGCAATAGGCTTTCTCATAAGTTGATGCACATTGAGCTCCCCCATGTTTCGGGAATTTCTTTATGCTTCTGTGTCTCTCTTTGAAAGCACTGCCGCACGATTTCGAGCACTGTCCCCAGCTGCTCCAATCGCTGAGTTGGCAATCTACGGCTACAACACAGTTCACTCGTTTAGTAAGAAACACCGTCGGAACAATCGATGTTACTTTGCAGATGCAGTTCAAGGGAAGCGGAGAGGGGAGGAATGAATGGGAATTGAAGAGCGACAGAGAAGCGGAGAAACATTCAACTTTATTGTAGCCATTCCCGCGGGTTCGAGCTCAGTTCCGATTGCGCGAGCAGTGAGGAAAGAGCGAGGGGAAATCCGAGGAGAGAGAGGCCTCGTCCCCTCTGGTACTAACGGCAAGGTCTTGTTCCATTACATCTTCTCAACTGCCTCAACTTTCCAGGGCAGGGTTTACCGCCGTTGGATGCTGGTTTGACTATTGTGCGGTGCCTGGAAGATGTTATCGTCGCAATATTCTTGTTCGGTCGAGCGTCGGTCCCACCCATCCCCCTCGTAGGGAACTTGTAAAGAGCTGGACGATGTCTTGCTCTGGCGATCTCGGGATGCGGGTCGGGACCCGTAAAACAAACCTCTTCGGCCCTCGTCGGCAGCATTCTCCACGGAGGACGTACCTTTCTCGGCGACTAACTCCACAGGTGTGCGAACAGGGTCCCCATTCGGACCACTTGGTTACACGACAATCTACCGGAGTGCTCCCAGCCTCCCTCTTAGGATCATACTTCCCTGCAACGGAGTCATGGAGCGGTCAGCTCGGCCCACACATGATCTTCGATTGCCCGGGGTCGGAATATCTCTTCGTCCGATAAAATGATGCTCATTCATCACGTTCGGGCAGCCTCACCGTCTTCGGAAGAGCTCTCTTGACACTCTTGTTCACATTCTTCATATGTTTTGAAGTTGTTCGCATTTCCATTACAGCCAGTATAAATAAAATTTAAACATTTTTTTCCTCTGCGAGGTAATAGTATCGCAGGTGGTGACCGCGACAAGGTCTGCCCTCATCCTTCGGGAGACGACATCGATCTGCTCTCCAGAAAATTCATTTAGAGATAACTACGCATTGAAGCTCCAGCGAGATGCACGATGCGCAATCCTCGAACCGCGATCCAAGATTCCGATCTGAATTTCAGGGGTCGCGGATTCACGTACCGTTCACATCACCGGTGGAGCATTCGCTACCGATGCAGGAGGTTTCTTGAGAATTTTCTACTTTGCAATTATTCAAATTCGCTAATCGCTCATCTATGTAGGACCTGTTGAGGGAAAATGGAGTCTAGCGTCCAATCAAGCCGATTATAGTAGAGCCGATCATAAAGCGAGGATCCATTGAGCGTACCTCGTCCTTGCCTTGGTCCCTTCTCCACAGGGCTCCGTGCAAGGGGACCAGTCTGACCATGATGTCACAGCACATTCCGATGGCATCTGGAAAGTCACACGCTCAGGTGCAAATACTACAAATATTGAAACGAGGTTTACGAAGATCAGGAAGGATCATCACTCACCGTCACAACACTGCAGTCTTCGGTTTCAGCTGTGCAGCGAATTTTTTGTTGAGTTTCAGCCGAGCATACCTGCGGAGAGGAGATAGAATGTCAGGGAGCTCGATCAGTTAGAAGATGCTGCGGGAGACTCTTGGATGGTCTCAGGGAGTGAATTCGAAGCTTATTATCGAACACCGTTGTCTTGCCTTGTGAGCCATTTTGTTCTTGAAACGACGAGATCGCAATCTGTATCCCCGGCCACATGTGACATTGCATTCTCCCCACGGGGACCACTCAGTCGTCTCGCACATATTGGCATGCCTCCTACATCAGGAGAAAATAGAAAAGATGACAGGGGTTCTGCGAATACCGGGTGCACCGCCGTAGGCGAGATGAATTGAGTACTCACCCGCAATCCTCGCACAGAACCCTATCGACGAGTTGACTCTTGCAATCATGTAATCTTTCCCGTGACTGATAAGCTCGGGTCCTCACTCGGACGCAGTCGGCGTTGCAGGGACTGAATGCCGTCCATTCGTAGGTAGCGCATTCGGCTGTTTGAAAAGAAAGACCGTGAGAGAAAACCAATTGGGAGCCCAAATGTTCCGAGATTCCCTACGGTTTCGATTAGGAAAGCAATCAAACGATCAAGAATTGACGATGAGAGCTCCCTACGTCTGAGATCATCATAAGCTTTCTTCGAAGTCGAGAAATCATCAGAGTCACACGACTTCTCGTAGAGCCTCTGTCTTGACAGTGTCAAGCGAGCGACGGGCTTCATTGGTGTGCCCGTTTCATCGAAAAAGGGGCTCTCGGGATCCGGGGGGTAACTAGATGTAATTTTACGAATCCTCTGATGTGGCTCGGACGACTCCACGGATTCCTACAACGGGGACAAGAAGGGCGGATGAGTCGATCTATATTACAAGCAAATACTCTTGAGGAGCATCCGTGGACAAAGAATCGAGTGTATCGATTGATTGCGCTGATTTACGGGATAATAGGTGTTGCCTTCACGAGTGCCAGCATCCCAAGGGTAGAGATTTATTATTTTCTCCGTGAGCCATGAGCAATTGGATTGGCAGAGCTCGAGTGCAGACACGCCCACCAGCCAGTCGGGCGACGGATTCATTCTGGAATTAAGTTGGAGTCGATTCCCCGCCTGGAAGCACTACGGACGGGCTCAGTGGAATCCTTCCAGCGAAAATTGAACCGATAGAGTCGCCCGTCCACTTACCTCGACAGTAAACTGACCACGTGATTCCTCCTGTCAACGCGGAAAACAGCAAACGTTTTCTTCTTCAGATTTGGATAGACCAGCCCTTGGGCCTTGATGACCGTCCTGATCTTATTCGACTGGAATTGGAAAATGGAACCAATCACTATTTCCGAAATTCCGTGAGAAACTAATGGAAATGAATGGCGAAGTGGATGCTCGCGTCGAATGAATCCGCCTTGTCTCATCTCATCTAGCAATGTCATCTCTCATTCCTTCCCGCAGCCGCGAAACAGAAATGCCGTGGTGAGTGAGCGAAGGCGAGATATCGCTACTTCAAGCCGCATCGCCAGGATGACATGATCGTCATCCGTGCCGGGGCGGACGAGACGAGATACGGTCAAATAAGACCTGTCTAGTTATTGGAACGCAGGAATAATGGCACCCATCGTGTCTTCGGGCCTTTCCCGCTTGGGATCAATATCTGTAAGGACACAGAACCCACACCAATCTGGGGGCGTAGTCGGGCCATCTGAGTTATCGGATCTAGAATTCCACCGGCACTGGGGTCGCGGTCGATCCGATGAGACAGAATTCATCTAGGAGTTTCGAAACATGAGGAACTTCTTTGGCGGGCAGAGCAAGAATCCAATTTTCGACATACTTCTTTCTTCAACTCGGTCTCGAGTTCTTTGGTGAGACCCGTTTCCGCGAGATGCTGCACACCCTCCGATGCGTATCCTCCGTACTCCCAAATCTTATGATTCGCAGAATGGGAAGCACCAGTGATATTTGAGAAGCGGACGTCCCATTCATCTGGAAAGGGGAAAGCGCTATTCAAAATCTGGTGAAAAACGACAATCCGATCGAAATTCGACGGAGTCTCCTTTGAGCTTACTCTGCGGATATGACTTCGGATGCGTGTATCTGGACCATAATCCCTCGAAAGCCACCTCATACTTAGCCTCCTCGCAAGCGCAACATTTCTGTTGGAAGAGGGGAAGTACATTCAAACTTGAATCCTCTCCCATCCGTGGCGGCGTAGGAGCTGTAGGAGATCGTCATAGTTTCGCTGGCATCCCAGCCCACATGGATTTCGGATTACCTCAAGGATGGCATCCTGGTCGTCAGTGTTCTCGTAGTCCTGACAGATTTCGCGGGATAAATCGTCATCATCGGCGTACCATCTCTCTTGATCCTCGACGACGGACGCTCTGCGAAGACATCATCCTTCCCCATTAGTCCATTAGGCAACCCGTTCGACTCTTCCGCTGGAATACCTATACTCCTCGAGGGGGGGAAGCGCCGGGGCCCTCAGCTGCCGTCGCGACGGTAGCACGGGTCTAGCAAGCTCATCGAATCGGCAAACAGAGATATTCTCCTTCCAGTATGACGAGGAGAATGTTGATCGCGGAGATTGAGTGCGCATCGGAAGATCTATCAAAACAGGATGCATAGAACTCGAACAATTCGCACCGGAAGATGACACAGCCGCTCCCGGACGCAGGCGCTTGCCATTTGACCGTAGCACGAGTTTTCTGTACAGCCGAAGTTGCAGTCACCGAATTTGGACAGTCCTCTGAGAATGTAGTTAGCGAGTCTCCTGTTAACTTGAAGACAAAGAGAAATTGATAAACGCCATTTCGAAGAGAGACTTCCTTCATCGAGAATCGGTGGTGATATCTCGTTCCATGGCAGTCAGCGAATTCACTGTACCGCGGCGAATTTTACCTTGAATGACCCCACATCTGGATTCAGTTTATTGTAGTCCGACGATTCAGCGGTGAGAGTGAATCCAGTGAACTTCTGTAGAGCAGGGGCACCGTCCATTTGCTTGCCGAGAATCGACACTGGAAATAGATGATTCTGAGAAGGCTTGTGAATTGAATGCATGTATGTTCCTCATTCGATACTTTTCCCGCACGAAGGCTATGAGCCTCAGCCTATGTCTGCCCGAGCGAGTCGCGAAAGTAGAGAAAGAAGAGAGTCTTATATTTTCTGCGAGAGCTCGGCTGCGATGAGTCGCGATCTGCGAATGAATGAACTGAATGAAATCCAATTCTTCGCAGGGCAGTGTTCGATTGCCTGTACAATCATCTGATTCCGAGCGCTTTTTTGACGCCATGAACGATCATCTCAGAATATTCTCGATTTTTCGCAGAGGGGATGAGCTTCAGGGGCGGATCCTGGAACTTTCCGAGGGGAAGGGGGCGGTCGATGGACCGATGGAGGGGCGAGCCGCTATCTAGGTCCTCTTCCAGCATGGAAATTATATCGAGGTCACCGCGAAGGAAGAGGGGCGAACAAGGGTTTCGATAGCTCATCGTTGGAGGAGGGGTTTTGTTGCACACATCACGGTTTCAGAGGCATCACCCGGAAGGACCCGAATTCATGGGGCGGATAAGAGATTCTTAATGGAGCTTCCACTGGGAACTTCCCGGCACGGAAAGTGGAGATCGTGGATCGAGGAGAAAGTGATCGAGGTGGAGCCGGGCTATCGGATCCGGAATCAGGCCAGGGAAGAGCCACTCTATCTGATGGAATGCTGGATTTGAGCACTGGAATCACGCCCGGGATTCTGATTCCGGTTCCGCAACGAGTGGCTCGGAGGCGAGCGCGAGGATAGCCCGTGGAACGAATGCCTTCCCGCTTGCTGTTCAGGCTCTGACTTTTTCCCGTCTTCCATTAATGACGTAGACCCTCACTTTAGGATGATCGATCCGAGAAAGGCATCTCTTGGTTCCTCTCCGTGTCTAGGAAGGACGCAGAAAGCTTGGACCCTTCCGGAGAACATGGGGTGCAATGCTGGTCTCCTTCCACATCGAATGCTCCCCCCTACTCTGCATCTTGCATACAACGGAAGAACAGCAGAAGAGGCGAGGTTCGCTGTCTCACGCTTAGATGCGGAGCGGTTTTTTTCCGCGCCAGTCTATCCTCCTTTTCGTTGCGGAGAACAATCGACTCTGGAGAATATTGATCGGACTAGCTTCATTGAATACGCGGTACTCGGCGGAATGTTCAGCGATTCAGATGGGCGATTCGAGTACCGTCTCTATCATAACGGGTTGTCACGCAGAGGGCATCTCGATCGTAACCACTGCAGGGTTTCGGGCGCGGAATTCGTGGATCCGCCACAGAGCAGAAAGTCAGTTCCGGTGGCTCTAATAATTTCGTGCACTTGCAAAGCCTGTGTTGAGCTGCCGATGGACGCTTACCGAACACATAAAACGCTCGATCTGGAGTTCACCGGAGTTTTCTCGAATACGAGCTCTTTGAGGAATTCTCTATGGGAGACGCTTGACGTAGGTCTCGGTATTTATCATGATTGGGAGTCTGACAATTCTGAGGACGTTATTCATCATGGGTATTCGCCTCAGGGGAATTCTCGAACCCGGTCTTACCGCGACGATACTACAGGTCGGCTGCGTGCAAACATATCTGAACGGCGCGGCATTCGAATCACCCAAGTTATAGCAGGGACGGGCAGGATCTTTTCGACTCGATCTACATTTTGATATTATTATCACGTGAATCCTTTTCAGCCGGAGCATGCGTTGGGACAGATCCAGGGAGGGGGACAAAAGCCACGACCCACAAAGAGAATCTGACAACTCGCCACTGGAGGGGGAAAGTCCCTCGAAATCATTGCTCTCGGAAGAAATTACGCGTGTACGACCAACCTTCGTAAGTTTGTCCTGGCACGTATTTCTTGGGGAAACCCTCGATTTCTATGTAGAATCCATTTGAGCCGCTCAGTTTGCTGGAAGATACACCCTGGGGCTTTCTGCTGCACACATTCGACGCGAACCGAGGGTTCCTGAGCAAGGTATTTGCCTCGGTGACGAAATGAGATTGGAGAAGTTGAGCGCTGTTTTTGTCAATGAAGCAGAGTATCATCAGGAACAGGAAGATGAGCTCGTGCACGAGCAGTCTCTTCTGCACGCCCGAAAACACCTCGAGAAGAAGGGGCACGCGCGAGACGCACACCATGATTGGGGTAGAGACTCGTCTCGATCACCGAAACACCGTGAAGCTGATCGGTTTACCGATCACGAGCACTCGATTATTCACGAGTTTTATTGTTGTTTTTCTTATCTGTCCGACTTGAAAGCTTGCTCAAACAATCGGCGGTGAGACCATGACCCGTTGAGAGCAGAAACACGCACTCGCACGACGATATTGTTCACTCTCGCTGGTTGGTCGCTTGCTTTGCTGGTCGGCTCATTCGTTCGTTCGCTGGCCGCTCAGCGGCAACAAGGGGCGAGGAGTTCTCCATAGACGCCGCACTGGTATAACCCGTACCAGTAGAAGCCTGTTCTCCTTGATGAGCAGATCATCGTCATATCGAGAAGCCGTGATACCGGCTATGGCAGCGCTCGCTTAGTACACGGCACAGGATAAGTGTGATGGGCGATCCGAATGCTACCGCGGCGCTCAATGCTGCATGCGTCTCCCATGCCGCTAAACTCCGCCTCGGATGAGGCTTATAACAACGACGTCCGGTTCTTCCAAGAGACTGATGCTGGTCAGTGGTAGAGTGATGCTCTGGCGGTGACATCTCGCACTCGGCACGGCATCAGAGCTTCCATAAGGGTCTGTTTTGCTCATTCGAGGCGCATTTGCATGGAGTCAACTCCGAATCGGATGACTAAGGAGAGAATCTCGCTTGTGGAAACTGAAAGTGGAATTTCGGCCAACGATCTGAATTCTCTAGATTTGCGGCAGAAATCACTCCCGAGAAGAAAGTGGACTTCAACTGGAATCCGGAAAGTTCAATCGGGCGGAGTGTTCAAGGTGCTGGGAGGGCAATTATCGACAGCTCTGACAGCGCGCCCGGACTCTCGGTGGAAACTTTTATCAGTCGAAAGTCGAGAGCGCGCGGGGTGAGGAGCTTTTTCTCCACCGACGTAGATGGCTCCCGACTACCCCCACGAGCATATACCTCGGACGCTCCTCTCAAGCGAACTGCAGATTGTCAATGTTTTACAAAAATTTTAGGCGCGGTTCGTCAGAAACTGACCGCCCTTTCATGGTATTCTCATCAATTCTGTCTCCCCCGAGACTTCTTAGACCATGATCGCCGCGTATCGAGATACAAATGTCGGCGGCGACCAATGTTTCGTTTCTTTTGGAGAACATATTACATTCCCGCCCCCCTTACTGTGAGAACGGCGAGGCTTCCATGAAATGTCTGGGCTGATCTCGAATAAGAGCGTGTGCTTCTCTCTAGTTCTGGATTTATTCAGAATATAGTGGTCATCGGATTTGTAGATGTGGTCGTGGGGGAAAAAGCAACAATTGCGTTCGGGCCGTCCCTTTTACAGCATCCCAGAAGCCCAGCATTGCCAGAATACAGATCCACGAGGGAGTCCATGATATCAGCGTTGATTTGGTTTAGACGACAGAAGCGAAAAAATCACTTCCTGACTCTGAAATGACCAGGAGGTTTCCCGACGCATGCTTGCCCTTCGCTCAACAGTGATGCGGGGGCAACGACAACATGTTCTAGACTTAGACCTTCTTGGACCTCGTTGGCTGAATTGTCGATCTTTCGCGGCTTGTCGGCGTACATCAAGCGAACTCCACAGTGAATAGTGACGTCATATTTTTTTTCGGGCTTCCATGTTCTGTTTTCTATTTCTCTCTGGAGCGATCCGCCACTCAAGATAGCAGCACAAGGGTGACGGAGCCGCAAATATCTCGTTTCTCGCCGATCTTTATACCTGCGATGTCAAAGCAGCTTTCGTACATCTTCGACGACATGAGAAAGCCACAAGGGCTTCAGAGGATCTGCAACCGTATTCTTCTCACCGCAGCCTTAGGTCAATTCGCTAAATCCTGAGGATGGTTAGATGAAGCCCGAGTCGTCCGCGTTCCTGATGCCGGACTTGGGAGGTGAGCAAAGATTTCCTACGCAGCGAGCGCCGAAATTCGTCGAATGTCGAAAGCATTGTCTCGGGCGGCATAGTTTTCTACGAAAGTGAAATAACTTCTAGGGCTCGTCTTTAACAGGACTTCGTGAGTACATTAAGCCGCATGGGATCATCTAGACCTAGAGCACTTCCACTTCTCCGGCAGGAAGTTCGACATCGGTCATAAGCTCTTCCGTTCTGCTTCAGCGAGGCTCGGGAGCCTCGAGCCGGAACCATTTCGCTTGGAGTCCGTTGCTCGCACTATGAACGAAATCGCAGAGATGTCCCGACGCAAAACTCAGTTTCGCCAGTGGAACTTCCCTCTGTTGTAATGGAATGTACGGCGGCGGCAGCTCGTGGTCGACGGAGAGTTGGATCGAGGCCGTTTGCAAACCTATTCGGGTCACGTGGAATGTGAATGCCTCATTGAACACCGGTGAGGTGGTGTTCTTCTGGGTCCCGGTCCTCTTCTTCTTCTTGTTGATCCGATTCTTCCCGGAGCTCGTCGTGACGGTCAATTTCACGAACACGTCTGAAAAATCGGCGAGACAATGTTTCATTCCGCTGTTCCGTGGGGAAATCGAGGGTGCGCCTCATCTGACGGATATGAATATCATTCAAATCGACCGATAGCTCCCGGCGAGGTCTTATCAGCCGGAGCGTTCCATACGCCGAAAAATGCGGTCCGTCTTCCATCTCGGCCGATGTACGGCAAACTTTCACAGACAAAGAGCCTTGACCTATGGCTGCTAGAGACTCACCGGGGTTTCCGTTGGCCTTGACGCTGGTGGGCACCGAGAGGCCCTTCACTCTGAGTATGGAAATCGTCAGTCGTTCCGCGCTCTGCAGGTAGCTCATCGAGAGCTGTACGTCCCCATATTTTGACTGAGAAAAGGGAGGCACTTAGATTAACTTTTAGAGTACGGGATATCGCTTAGAGTGCAGTCCTCCTTCCCCAACGGACTTCCTACTGCTTCGTCCCTAGCTGAAAGCCTGCGAAAGCTGCGCGAGCATCGACGGACTGACTCCAAAAGGATCGAGAGCATACTCCTAATTGTTGTAGGATCACAAGCCTATGACGTCTCTCCGGTGGTGCCGGAGCTCGATTCGTGCCGTGGACCTTCCCGACGAAAATACTCGCTTAGCGGGCGCCTCTTGGGAGGAACCCGGAACTTCATGACAGATATCGAGTCGGCGGCTGAGATTTCGATTCGGAAAACCTCTACGAAGTTCAGTTTTCTTGTGTCGAGCTCATCCACCTCAGTCCGTCCGTTTCCACAGCCGGATAAGTCCATAGCTCGAAGCTGACGGATCTATCGATATCTCAAAAGGTGTTCGTCACACGAGGGCAGCGAGCTGGGCCTCCGTCGTTCTCGTGGATTCCTATACTTAGAACTATCGCCCCGAAAGAAACATGGAGCTTACCATTTTGTTCGTGATTGTCTCCGCGGAACACAGCGGCAAAATCATGGAGACCGGTTTGACATTGCCCTCTCGCGCGGAGTTCAGCAATTGATCGAGCGAGAACTGCACGCCGCCCAGGCAATGCTCGGCTACTGCTCCGGAGTCAGAATCGCTTTTCGGTACCTCGTTCAAGACGAAGACGTTCACGGTCTTTCGAATCGCCGGCAAGAGAAATCGAGGTGAGGAAGAGCGTCTTTCATGAATTCATTAAACTCATACTATAATCGCTTCATTCGCCATGGTTGTTAGCGAATCTAGAAGTGTCGTGAACGAACTATGGAGCGTGAAAGGTTCGATATTTCGTTCGATATCTCTACATGAGGGAGCGAGAATGATAGGCAGCAGAGCTTAAGCACTCCCTCCCCCGGGATACTTACATCGGTCTCGAGATCGCCCTGATTGACATCATCGAACACAAAATCCTCTTCGAATTGGAGCTCAGTTGTATTCCTCTGAACATGACTGACTTTCACCTGCTCGGACTTCGAGTCAGACATCAGGGAAACTCTGAGGTAGGGGTTCACCACATGTGAGTGGCTGATCGAACCTTCAACATGAAAGACTCGGATACATAGAACCGAGAATTGCGAGTTGTAACTGCAACTCAGATGGAGTTTCGCGGTCCCCGGGGTTTCGTCGCTCCCCGCACTTCCTTCTGCCTGTGGGAAGAACGGAAATTCATTGTCCGCGGAACTTTGGTCCAGCTGCGAGAGCGATAGTTAAAGTAGCCGTCCCGAAATCGCTCAGCCAATATTTTTTCGCCGAAAGTATTATTCATCATTACCCATCTTTCTTGAAATTAATATCATCGGTCATCAGTCACAGGGCGTGAATGAACATAATCGAAGCAGCTGAGAGACGAGCGAGCTCACCTTGACTTGATACATATCCGCGTTGAACTGGGTGTGGTCGAGTTTCTCATACATCGTGCTGACTTTGGATTTTTGTCCCGTCGTCGGCTGATAGTTCTGAGCAACCGCGTCCAAATCCACTGCGGACCCTGACGCCTTTGCGAGTTCTGAAAGAGACCATCATTCCTAAAATTGCGCCTCCCGCGAAGACCTCCCGCAAGACCTGATTCTATTGCGTGAGCATCCTCCATGATAGAATCAGCCGAAGCTGAGCAGAATATCGTCATAGTAGACACATGGGAGAGCTCACCGTAATCATCGCTCACAGCCACGGCCGAGGGTTCTGACGCTAATGTGGTGGCCGTACTCGCGGAAGAAATGATTGACTTCAAAGAGTTCCTATCGACAGCTTTCGCCGAGCATGCCGCTTCCCCCTGCTGTTGGTCCTGCCAGACCTCTGAACGGATTTGGGGCAGGGCAGACGTCAAGTCAGCAAGACTCCCATCGCTGCAGGTGGATCCACTGGAAAGAATAACTCCATGGATGCGGAACAAACAAAAGCTCAGACGATGAATGGCGGCGACGCGACGGTGAATAATTCACGCGACGACGATCAGCGCTACTTACCTGTGATAGCGTTGACGGTTGCAGAGTTTCACGATCGTAGCTTCTTCGCAAGCGAAGGAATCCAAACGATTCCGTTCGAACCAGTTCAGCTTGTATCGTCTCGAATGCACCACATAGAGGAGGATGGCACAGAGAAGGAAACAAGCCAATGAAATGGAAAGCAGCAGAACGGAGTACGTTCCGTCGAACCTGAGAATTTCAGATCCCTTCATCGTGGAGTCGTGTGGCTCAGCGGCTTCCCGAGCAGATTGCGACCACCATCACGTCTGTAATGAGCAGCGTTTTAGAGTTCTGACCTTCGTTCTGCCCCAAAATCCCGTCAGGCAAGCGGAAGCGATTCCCATCGCCCGAGGGCGATTGTGCATCGGCCAGTTCCGTGAATGAGTTCCCTATAAGGTGGCCCTCGGACGTTCCGACTTCTCGGAGCCTGATCCGACTCGCCTATTCTCCACATTTCAACGCTTGATATGCATTTTGGACCTCTCCACTCTTCCCCCTATGTTGAGCTCCAAGTCTAAACTCCCAGTCTCCAGTGCTATGAGTCGCGGGCTCTTGTGATCGACTTGGGCCTCATGTCGGCGAGACGCCGGAAACTGCCGGACCGAGACTAGAAGTCGATATCGGAGCGGCTGAGCTTAGTCATCGCGAATGTTCTGATGACATGGCCCTGAATACGGTCTGCTTCGCCCGGGTCCCCGTGGTCGGAGTTTGCGAAATTTTCTGGAATTTGACAGGTTCGGGCTCGCGTCTATGCATTCTCCGCGATCTGTACCTCTCGCTCGCTGGAGCGACGAGTCGCTAGGGATTTTCAACAATCGATTCGGAGAGCTCGGAATTTCTTGACAGGTGCATCGATATGGAATTCTCTCCGAAATCGCCCATGAGAAATCGATCTCATCCGGGGAACTAAATGCCTGCAGATCCGCGAGCTCACTCGATCTTGCCTTCAGGGATTCGTCGGCGCCAGAGGGGCTGATAATAATCGAGGCGAATGATCTGACCCGACTTCGGTCTTGAGCCGGATCGGACGAGAGCTTCTGGCATTTGAAATCTGTAAGACGCCCCAGTCTGTCTGATTCTCAGAAGCACGTCGATGCATAAATTGACTGGCGGAACGGGCTCCTCTCCGGGCAGAGGGCTCCCCCTTCATTTGTCCCGTTCGTTCCCCCCTGTTTTTCTGAGTGAGTAGAATCTGCCTGCGGAGGTTCGGTATTCCGCGCCGATTTCCCCGCAATGCCAGGTTACCATCTTGATTGCATGATATTTCCGTCCTAAGCGGCCGCTTGCCGCAGATCATCAAATCGAAGCACCCACTCGTCAAAATCATCACGTTCGCCGACGACATAGTCATATATGCCGCGAGCAACTATCTCCTGCAGAACGCGAGCCGACTGGGTCAGGACAATCGGGCTCTCAATGAACTACAACAAAACCGAGGCCATGAAGTTTCGAAGAGGAGGACGTCTCTCCAAAGATGACAAAGTCTCCGTCCACCGGCACAAGATCGAATATGTGAACAGATTCGCATATCTAGGAATCACGATGATGACATCAGGGACCAACTTCGGCCAACACATCGGCGATAGAATACGGAAGGCCATCCTGGCTTTCTCCTAGATCCCAGAACCCCAGAACCTATCGTTGGAGACAGCACTGGAGCCGATCGCAAGCTACGGTATACAGGTGATTTGGGAGCACCTGGAGTCCCGAGATCTCGCGAAACTCAACTCCGTGGAAGCATGCTGTGTCAAAAGAGTCGTGAGAGTGCACAACAAGACCAGCAACGGGCTAGTGTACCTGTTGACGGCACTCAATTGCTGACTACAGAGCTACAACGGTCGTTTGCCCTGCCGAGGACAGAGGCCGTGGCGAGAATTGATGAGGATTGGAGCCAGAAGATCGCCGAAGTGAGCCAAGAGTTCCGACGCTCCTCCGCAATGTGCTCAGACAATTGGAAGAAGGGAAACTGTACAAACAGACACGTGATCATCAGGTATAGCGTCCGCGGATTCCACCATATGTTGTGTCAAATCAGACTGTTCCATGAGGCGTCCCCGACGTGTATATGCAGGCTGTGTAACGAAGAGTGGAATCTCTACCACGCAGAACAGTGTGTCGAAGTCAATTCCCTGTCCCAGCTGTCGAAATTAGTTGACCCGAGTCCAAGACTATGAGCCATAACGGAGAACAAACTCTTGTTAAGTTATGATATTCATGTACATATAATCGTTGACACAATCAGTGAGACTAGACCAGTCGAGTCAAATATTCCGCTTGCATCCTGACCCGCCGCATCCCATTCGAAACGAGCTTATTGCATGCATCAGGACATCCTGAGCTCGGAGTTCCCCATCGCAACAGGAGTAATAAAGGAAAAGCCATGTCATCCGGCTCGGCTCCTGTGTGAGAAAGAGACGATCATGTGCATAACTCGAACCCTCTCTCGATTTCGCTTCGGTGGAACTTATTGTCTAGTATATCGCTCTTGCTCGTGCCCCGTAAATATGCTACCTACAGGTCCAGATGAGATGGACAGTGGGACCGAAATAATCTCAACTCTGTCTCTTTCTTGGGAACGTCTCCAACATTATCGTACATTCAAGCAGTCCGTAGTCACTCCTCAGCATCCCGGGAGCATCCCGCTACGATTGATCCATGACTTGGTGGATAGACTGCTTCACCTCGTCTCTCGAGACTCTCTCTTGGAGTCCGCATTGACCGGAAATTTACATTGCATACGCTCATCCCACTTCCCTGTTGACAATCAGAGATTCCTGGGAGTCTGAGGATATTCATCTCCGATCGATACAGCATCCGGTCCTGAGACCGACCGTACGACTTCATCCAAGAGGTTTTCTATTATACTCCCGATGTCATACCATATCTCCATCAGGTTCTGCTACTGATGCATCGCATTTCGTGAAGGTTCCTCGCTACTCTTGGGAAGCCTTGTAAAACTAAGCGATATTCATCATCCACTCTCCGAATCAACCAAGGGACTCTATATGAACCGGGATTCATAGGCAGAGCTTATTCGAGACCGGTACAAGCCATTCGGGATGTCAAGGCTCCAGACATATGAGGGATTGCTATTCGATTCGGGCGTTTCGATAGCCAGGTCGCCAGCTGTAGCTCGATTGATCCAGAGACACATGGTACACCTTGAGAGGCACGAGTTCACGCAACGCTATTCTTTCTCACGTAGAGGCCGTTGCCGTGGCAACGATCCTGATCGATTCAAATTAGAATCCCTAGCAGGAAGGCTCATTGGAGGATTTTCGGCAAGATTCTCCCAAAATTGCAATGTCATTTCTCGGGGACCCCATGCGTTGCCGCGTCGTCAAAGGTGGAATGAGCGGCTATATTCGGGAGCTCCCAGAGACTCCGGTGAGGCGGAACCTTCAAAACATGCGCATAGCGCAATGATCACGTACGTAATTACTCCGCTTGCTGCCTGAATGGCGGGGAATCTTCTCTCTCCTTTTTGAAATATATATGAGATTGCAACTGCAGTCAGCAAAAAACGTTCCCGCTTGAATCGCATATATTGCATGTACGCCCAGTGCAGCAGATGGTGGACTCCGGCATCCAATTCCATGGCTCGGAGGGCCCACGACGCAAGCTCGCAGGTGTCGATTCTCCCTCCATTCGCGAGCAAGCTATAGGAAGACAGTATTCCCTGCCAGGGCTCCTTCTCCCGTCAATCGGCTCGTTCTCTACGGTTCTGGCTCGCACAGAACAGAGAAAGAACGATTATATCAGTCTAAACGCTTGCCGAAGCTGTCATGGCGATAACGCATTGAGCGCAGTCGGTTCTCCACCGTTGAAGGGCTTGCAACCTCTAGTCCCGAGCTGTATCCAGGGGGGAGTTCTGCCTATCCGATCGAGAGTTTCCGTCAGGAGAGGCCGTCGACTTACCTCGAGACTCACGAGTTCGTCCTGTGGCGTACACGCATCAAAAAGAGCTTGACAACAGGTATTTTCGATGTGAAAAATCGCGCTCGGATATGCCCTCCTGGACGAGTCCGCTCAACTATGGGCAACAGAGCGTGTGACGTCATGGCGGCGAAGAAAAGCCACACAGACTGAAGGAGGGAACGGTAGACCCTCACCCGCTGGCTCTCACAGCGTCCCCACGTCCGATCGATTTCCGGCGGGCAAGTTCAGCAACAAGTGGCGAGGGCACCTAAACTACGGGGATGACAACCTCCATGGCGGAGGAGGTGGGAAGCAAGGAGATCACTGGCTGGAACCGCAGCAGAGGATAATCGTGTCGAGTTTTCGACGAACCTCGCGGCGGAGAATTCTATCCATTCAAATGACCGTTATCGTAGCGAGTGTTCATCATGGACATTTTTGATGGGGCGATAGAAGTCGCGAGCACGAAATGCGTCGATGGAGAGCGCTGCGATATCTCGAACCACGATCTTGCTGGGAGCGACGCATAGGACCAATTCGGGAGCAGAATTGGAACATCTCAGGAATGGGGAGCGGTCGAAACGGTTGTCATCTGTGGGGGGCATGTGCTACACATGTTCTTATACCAAAGCCTCTTCATTGGGAGATTTACGTGTGCTGCCTACCAGGCCATTTCAGTCAGAGGCAACCGCGGGAAACTCGCGAGTCCCTTGAGACGGATTCACGAATCAAGAGGCAGTGGCAAGACTAGTCTCGGCGGAGAGAGCTACCCGGGTAAGCTTGCGATTCAATTTTGAGCCTCCATGAGCATCCCCGATCTATTATTCTCCCCAAAGGAGTTTTCCTAGAGTCCGCACAGAGTCCGACGGGACACGCCACCATGAAGCGCTACATGGATAAACAATTCATTCCTCTCTCTTTCGAGTTAGCGATCGCGTATACGATTCGAGCGATGCCACTGCTCGCTTCAATGAAATCGACAACCTTATGCCTCAATCCTGCGTCAAAAAGTCAAGCCTTAATTTAGGCTTTAGACCTATAAATGTCATAACGAGGGGATACCCTAAGCTCTTCCCGCTTTGAATGCTATCCTTCCTTACTCGACATCGATCGTCATCATGGTGCTTGGATACCGAGTATAGGGGGAGCACAGTCGTTATCGGCGGCTCCATCATTCATGAACCCCCTGGAGCCTCAACTTCTCCATGCGTGATTTCAATGAAGAATGCTTCCGCAACACACCGCCGCCGGCCTTCGGGAGGATTTTCTTCCATGTGGACACATTTCGATCCCG